AATTACTGTAAAGAACAGGAACTACACTGTAGTCAGTCCAACATAAGCTGGTAGGCTGGGCCTGTCCCCTGTAGGTATATTGCTGATTGACAAGCCCCTTATTATCCCAAGAGTTTTACCTCTTTTCTTTGAGCTTCCCACCCCGAAACTTAATTGCATTGTTGTCGTCATATTGGGAACATAACCAATATATTTTATACGTTCTTCAACAACCCCTCCATCTGAGTTTAAGGGATTCTCACAAAGCTCAGTTCATTACTTCTCTGTATCGCTGCAGGTTTTGTAGCATATTGTAACTGTGAAATACATGAAACCATAATTACTTTATAAATTCTGCAGATTAGTGTAAAATGCCCAGTTGTTACTCCCTTGTTCCCCGTAGCCTAGTTTCCTAAATTTAAGTACCAGTAGGAACCAGTAAGTATTTTATTGGTGCCTGATTGATAGTTAAATTACAACTGCTGCATAGAAAACTGTTACGGCAGTAAATAAAAGTTGAAACAAGTAGGTAGAAGCAGTTTGAGGCCTGAGTTTGACATGTTATACACAATATATGGGGTTTAGTGCAGTCCAACATAGCTCTAAGTCACACCCTAGAAAGCTCAGTGTACAAAATTAATCATAAGAATATTTAATTATAGACAAAAAAGAATGTAAAAGCCTAATCTGAAACAACTATAACAGTAATTGTTGACTGTCCCAGGCTTATATCTCAATCAGCCAGCATCAAAGTCAATATATTTCTCAGGCCCATGGTAATGTTACTGATCTGAAGCAGGGATTACTGTGCCCCCTCTTGGTTATAAATCAGCATTGCATTGTCATTCAAAGCTTCATTATAAGCTCTGAGATTAGAGCCGATGGTGCGATCACTTGTGTTGGTTAGACTTAGGCAGCAGCATCAAAAGATATACTCTAGGTGTCGTTGGATCAGAAGGAGAAAAATACATTGTTTTTGCATTAAAGTGCTAAAGTTTTTGATTGTATAGAATCAGAGGGCAGGGGGTGTCAGTTCTGATCAGAGGAACAGCCGCCGGTGACAAATGAACTGCAGTGATTGTGTCAGTTTGTCACCGCATTGAATCGGAGACGCCGACCATTCATCACCGAGAAGAGGTGCATTCCCCCCCCACTCTCAGGATTCAGTGATAAGGGATGAATGAAGAAAAATGACAGAGAGATAGGCCTCGTCCACTATCTATCATAGAGCAACAGGGGCCGGCTACAGTATGTTCAAACGCTGCTCCTACTTTTGTTCCTAGTTGCTTATTTTATAAGGCGCTGCCGAGCATCATGAATCAAACCGGCTTGACTTTGTGGTGTGTTGTCAGAAATGTTTCACTGTGTCCTTTAACGTACAAGCAGCAGCGGATCGTTGATTTAAAGGGCTTCAGTTGCAGCACAGAGTCTAGAAACTTGATTGTTTTTAACACCATGCGGCTCAGTTTTGGACATCTATTTTTTCCTGTTGTTTGTATTTATAGCACATCTTTAACGTCCTTCTTCCCTCAACCGGGGGAGAGAGAGAGGGAGAAAAAAAAGCCCTGCCTGTTTGGAGTTTACAGGATCAAAGAAGAGGTAAATATCATTTCCATAACATTTGAACCAGTTAACCACCAGCACAATGCAGATAAACACTACTGTAAGCGCCTGACAATGCCAATGAGGCAGGAACTCTGTGATTTGCCGCTCCGCCAAAGAGGAGGGAAGCGAGCGCAAACATGGAGGAGGTGAGAGGTCAACTGTGCTCTCCCTGCATCCCTTTCCAAGCAGCCCCTCAAGCACTGGTGATGTTTTAGGCAACCGTGCCTCACTTTGGGGGGAGGCCTGATGGATGCCATTCCCAAGGTGAATAGAAAGAATAGCATTAAGCTGCACCACACTGCCTGGGGAGATCTACACTGCTTTGGGTGATTCATCTATTGATTATTTCTACCCAAGCATGGAGGTGCCATGTAAACACACATATATTAGTAGTCTACAATGCACATGTGTTGCCCCTAACACACATGCAGACACAGTGGATCCAGTGAAACACGCCCCGGGCCTACTCAGTGTTTTATAATCAGATTCCAACTTCTACCAGCTCGTGGGCATCTTCAAACCACCAGGCAGATGCATCTGATGGATAACTAAATAGAGATGAATGAAAAGATGAAGGAATAAATAAATGATAAATGCGCATTACCGCTATTTGTGTGGGCCAGCTATTGTGTTATTGATCTGAGCTGGTGTTTTTTTGTTTGTGTGTGTGTGTACTTGTAATAGGCTACAGTACGTGGGCCAAGTCAAATTGTTATGCTTATTCTGTGCTTTATGTGTAGGATTTGAATCATTATCAATGGAGCACTATAGGTGTCCATGTCTTATCTAATTCAATTGATTTGTGTGTGCCGTGCAGCTCATCCAGAAATGTTTTTCGGGCTTCGTGAACTTGCGGGGCACCGTGATCTAACCTTAACTTCTCCACAGGCTGCTTGATGTAACAAGAAAAGCCTAAAAAGTTTGCTATCCTAACCCCAGGCTAAGGGTCACATTTCCATGGTAACAGCTGCCGACCAGTGGCACCAAATGACAAAACAGAGTAAAACAAGGCTCATAAGTTGTGGTTTTCTAACTATATTATTGAGAAAACCATGAGAAGGCAAAGAAAACACACATATACAGTGAGGACATCATCTGTCATTTTCATTTTTATTTTTGCTGAATTTTCCCAGTAAAATGTCCTAAATAAATCTTTCAGAAGGTTAAACATTTTGTGCTGGAATGAACAGAGCTGAGAGGTTTAACACGGCTGCCAGAATTCATGTCAGATTAGTCCTACTTAAGATAGTCAAGAAGTAGACAACCGCACAATGGATTAATTTATTTTCCTATCTGAAGTCTGATTATTAATTTGATCTCAGCCGCAGTCAAAGTCTGTCTTTGTCTTTAACTAATGCTGGTTTCTTTATTGTCTACCTGACTACATTTTACTACCCACTAGATCTGGAGTAGTAATCTATTGACCTCCACTGGCAAACTGTTTGGAGCTGAAACTCATTAAACTCTACAACCACATTGGTACTTTATACATACACACTGTTGGCAGTGTTGGTTTTGTGACAGGTATCTGCCACTCTATGTAATTTACTTAATACAGAAATACTTAGTTGCCCCAATTAAATGCAATTGATTAATGATCCTTCCTTGGGATTATCAACCCAATAACAAGGTATCTCATTAGCTGGGGGGAAAACCTCCCACAGTCTCTCTCTCTATGCTTTGTGTATGTATATGGGACAACATAGTATATCATACATAGGATGTGTACTTTGCAGTTGATACGGTAAATTCAAATATCTTATTTTTTGTTTAGTTTCTTGTCTTTTGATGTGTTTGTATTTTTAATACAGACTGGGAGGATTTGGGCTTAGAGCTGTTTTATAGTACTTTCTTTTAATACAGAACAATATCTGTACTGTCTTTAAGAATTATCATTTATTATTGATGTTTATTATGTAATTTCTATTTCCTTTGTAATCTCTTTATATTTTTATATAGGTGATTATAAAATGTTGACATGGCAGGAATGCGGTTGGTAAAATGAGCTGTGGGGACACAAAACACTCTTGTTTATAAATGACTTATATTGTCTTCCTGCCTGTGCGCACACACACACACATATATATATATATGCATTTAAAGAGTAAATTTGACCACCAAAAAAAATAAAGTTTCTTTTTCTGACTCTTAAAAGTCCTATTGTTCCACATATAGATGTAACCCACAATGTAAGCTGGAAAAGAACACAGGTAGTTGTGGGCCAAACAATCCATGTTTGTTCAGGTGTGTCTGCTTTAACAGGAGTGATCCACTGAGTGATCTTGCATTCATACCACGGCCTCCTCATTAATTTGTCTGAACCAGGATGTGCTCGTGGGACTGAAGTGTCCTCGAGGATTTCGAATACCCCGTTTGTTCACGTCTCTCTCCACCTCATCTCCTGAGACAATAATAAACAAAAATCTCTTTGTGTGCGCGCGTCTGGTTTTTGTTCAAAAGGTTCATCTGCGCTGATAGCATCTTATGTCACATGCTGGATCATAAATGTACATGGCAGAGTAGCATTTCATGTTATACTGCATTATGAATCCAGCTTTCTTTTGTCTGCATAATCATGAACATTGCTGCTCAGGTTGAAATTCAACCTTTCACTGCTAAAAAAGGAGAATGCCAGAGTTGTCACTTACATTGGCTATCATTGCTTTGGGCAGAAAAAGAGCTCCTCTCCAGTGTGTGTGTGTTTCTTTTTCCAGACTTTTTTTTTCTTCTTTAAACGTTAGACGTGGCTCTCTCCCTTAGGGGCGGTAATGGCATTCTCCATGACAACGGCAGTGTGACACGGCTGTGCCCTTGAGGGCCGGGCGCCCCCTCTGGGGGGAGCGCCGCAGAAACACGACAGGGTCAAAGGTCACCTCCCATCATCCACCAGCAACTCGTCCTCCTCTCTCTCGCTCGCTCGCTCTCTCTCTCTCTCCCTCTCCTCAGGTGGAGCAACGAATGTTAGGGAGAGAAAGAAAGTCTTGAAGCGAGCCCACTCAGTCCAGGCCTGGCAAACGTGGAGCTTTAGCCACAGGCGGTTCTGGCTAGGTCTCTACCTCGCATAGCTCCTTGCTGTTCCTCCAAGGCCAGGGCTGGATCAATACGTATAGTAGTGCGGATTCTTTTGGCACCCAACTATAGCTATGCAGTATTGCCCTGAGGTATGGGTCCGTTAAAGACATAACAGTGTGTGCATGTGAGCAAAGTGGACTGAGTTTATTCAGGAAGGTGTTGAGATGCTTGGCATGAAACCGATGCTTCCAACAAGGAATTTTTTATTTTATTTTGTTGCTGGAAATGTAGGAAATTCTCAGTGTCTATTAAATATTGCATGTAGTTTTTTTTATTTTGGGGAAGTCCTTGAAATGAATATGGATTCTTGGACAAAGAACGTTCAGAAAAATCCCAAGACATTTAAGGATAATTGAATATTAATTCATGGCTCCTGAGTACTTATAAAACAAGATTTACTGTCATTTCTTTTTAAATTCAATTCAAAAGTCACGTGTGATACATCCACGAGAACTCATATGATGAAAAAGACCTCACGAATGAATATCTTGTCAGATCTTCATTTTAGAAACGATGCTCTTCTGCCACCTGGTGACTAAAAAGCAAACCAGTCTCAAACTGAGTTCATCAGTTTTACTGCGTTCTTCATGTCTTAAAGCATACAAATGTACAACCTGAGGGAGAAAATAAATTCCAGCACAAACATAGAATAAGCCTATTATTGTGAATACATCATTGGTTTTGTTTTACACAAACAAACAAAAAAAGCCAGTAACATCAGCGTCATTTCCGCCTTGGCACATCTTCAATGAAAATTTAAAAAGGAAGTAAAGAAAAAAACAGGACGTTGTCAGTTCAACAACTCACCTCCTGTACATTTGGCTTACTTGACAACAGAAAATGTTTATGTTCAACCTGTGAACATAAAATGAGACAACAAAGTGTCTTTGCACAAAAAATAAAAAAAGGATCCAGAAACAAAGTCAGTTGCTTCTTGCTGTAAAACTGATGCAGTTCGTCTACGTAGAAATTATTCAGCTGTTTAAGTTATTCGGAGGTCACAGGCAGAGTCTGGTGTCCTCGGTGAGCTCTGAATCCTCTCCCTAAACAAGGACTTCCATTCAGAGATGTATGAGGAAGCCGGTCAGGCACCTGCAGCAGAGAAGAGATTAAAAATAGAGAAATATTTACATCACATATTTCCTCCTATAGGCAGGAATTAAAAGACCCTTCACTTTCACTCTCTCATGTCTGACTGTCATGGATTAAATGTCCAGAAATATACTTGTCATCATGCATTCAGTGTCTCCATGTCAGTTTGGTTCCATGACAAGAAAGCCTAAAAATACTGTTATTTCTTCTGTGTAGTATTCAATATTTAGGATTATTATTATTATGATGATGAGATATTTGGCATTTCTCCTCTCATTTACAAGGCTGTATAATGCTAAAAGGTCCAGTGTGTAGGATTTAGTGGCATCTAGTAGAATAGTTGCATCATTTCCCTCGCTTCATCTTCCCCTACTAAAGGAAAAACTACAAAATATGCAAAAACGTTTGTCTGTCCTGGGCTATGTAGAAACATGGTGGTTTCAACATGGCAGGCTCCAACAGAAGGCAACCTGCGACGTCTGTAGATAAAAATTACTTATTCTAAGGTAACAAAAGCATGATAATTCTTATTTTCTGGTGATTATACACTAATGAAAACATGGCTATGAATATAATATCCCATTTCTAAACAAATGAATTACTAATTAAACTAATTTTCAGACAATCACATTCTCTTGGGAGGCTTTTTTGTAGGCTGCTGTGTATTTGTATCACATCAAACTCAATATGATTAAATATAACTGGTCAGAAGTACTCACCGAACTGGTATATGGTCCTGGGTGGTGAGGGGAGTGTACTTTGTGGACCACTGGGGGCCTGAGGGCCTAAACTTTTGCCACGACTCTGGAGGCGGGACCTCTGCACGGCCAACGCTACTGCCTGTGCAAATCTGGATGGGGCTGAACTTATCTTGTCCAGAGGTTTGGGTGCAGCTGCAGCCTGGTCAGGCGTGACTGACGTTAACACACTGAATGCATTATTCTGCCCATTGGAGGAAGGACTTAGTGGCTGAGAGGATGGAAGAGAGGAAGCTGTAGTATCTTCCCTACCTTCCTCCATGACTTCTATTTCTTCATTAAAGAAGACAGGTGGAGGAGGAGGAGGGAAACTGTCTTCTTCTTCCTTAACGTCCTTCTCATCAGTGTATGAACCACAGTGGTCGATGTCTGTACTGACAAACTGTCGACTGGGGCTTTGAAGAAATTCACTCTGATCCTCTGAGATGATGATTTGACCATCACTGCAGTCTGACGGTGTGGTTTGTACCACCTCAGATGTGACTTCAGGTTCATCCTCCTTCTCCTGCTGCTTTTCAACAGCTCCCCCAGCCTCTGGCAGAGGCGAGCCTGGGAAATCCTGATCGTCTACATCAGGTGTAGGTGGAAGAGAAGCTGGCTCTTCAGAAGCCTGAATTTCCTGAGAAGAAGGTTCTGGACTCTGCAAATATGCAACTTCAGGCTCATCCTCTTCCTCCTGTTTTTCACCAATGTCCCCAACCTCACAGAGAGGCGAGCCTGAACAGTCCTTATCGTCTACATCAAGTGGAGGTGGAAGAGAAGCTGGCTCTTCAGAAGCCTGAATTTCCTGAGAAGAAGGTTCTGGGCTCTGCAAATATGGGACTTCAGGCTCATGGTCTTCCTCCTGCTTTTCAACGGTGTCCCGAACCTCACAGAAAGGTGAGCCTGGACAATCCTGATCGTCTTCATCAAGTGGAGGTGGAAGAGAAGCTGGCTCTTCAGTCTCTTGAGACGAAGGCTCTGGACTCTGCAAAGGTGTTTCGGTCTCTGATCTTGCAGGAGAACATGGATCCTCCTCAGGCTCAGTTTGGTTTTTCCCAACCTCAGAAGAAGCTTCACTCTCAGGGTTTTCCTCTATTGTTATCTGATCTGGAACATCCAGGGTGAGCTCTGGATCATGGGACTTCTGTTTCTTTGAGGGAACCACTTTGAACGTGGTCATTCCCCTCCTCTGTGCAGGATCCTCCCACTCAGGCTCAGTGGGGAGGTTGGAAGTCAAAACAGGTTCAGGTTCTGCATAGAAATCCCTGTTATCTGAAAACCTCTGAGTCATGGACATAAAGGAGGAGCCATTGTATAATTTTGGGAAGGTGGCAGAATTCCTCAAACGCCTCACCAGCGTTCCTTTGGAAATGGAGGAAGTCATGACTTTGGCAAGAGCATAGCGGGCGTCTGATAAGTCTTTTCTTCGAAACGAAGGCAGATATGGATCAGCCACTTCATGGAGATGGGCGAAAGATGGACGTGAGGAGGATTTGGATGACCGTGAATGTGATGGATATGGTGATGAAGATGATGATAGTGATTTTACAGAGTCTGACTCTTCGCTTTCTCTCTTCTCCACAGTGATCAGGGAGTCTACAGTCGCTGGAGAAACAGGGAAGACTTAGTAACAAGGAACTCGAAGAAATGTCACTTTAAAGAAATTGTTATATTTCTAATGGAGGTTCTGCACAGAAACACAAAATGTGTGTTTGTCATTAAAAAAAAGACAGAATAAACATAGATAGACAAACAGATTATATAACCAGTGACTCAGTTCTAAGTATTATTTTTTCTTTTTTACCTTAATAACCTTTAGTCAAAATAAAACACACTTTTAAATGAAATCAAGTGTTAAAGTTAAATGAATTATTCACAATTTTATTGTAATAGGATAAATCCTGATTAATAATGAAAAACACCTGCATATCAAAATTGTAAAATGTGAATGTAATGACAATGAAAATGTGAAAGAAAAAGCACAATGTGTAAATGAATCAGAAGAAGAAAAGAATCATAAACATAAATATAATAAAAACATTAATATACAATAGGTAGAAGAACTATATAATAGAGAAAGAAATTAGCGTGTAACATAAAAACTGGATTTGGAAAGAAAACAACATTCACTTATAGAGTTGATTAATTTACTAAATACTGCTGTTCATCTGGCTTCTGTTTTGAATTAAAAAGGCACAACAATTAGTTTAAATCTAATCCATTAAAAAGGAAAAACACACAAGAAAGTTACAGAATTTTTCACAAAAGAAAAGCCACAAAAAAAAAGCATAAAAACAAACAAATAAATATTCAAGTGCAGCAGGCAACAGTGACACGCATCCATAAAAGCCACTAAGATGGGAAGGAGGAAGAAGAGGCCAACGCAGGAGGAGGACGGAGAAGAGGAATAGGGATGGTGGAAGGAGGGGAGGAAAAGGAGACAGCAGCAGCAGCAGCAGCCCTCAATCACCCCCTTCAGGTAACACAGTCTGTAAGCAGGGAGGAGAAAAAGCTTGGCTTTAGGGCAGCGATCTTCAGCGTAAAAGGTTTCCAAAACAAAACAAACATGACTCCAAGACGCTTTACGGTGCAGTCTCAATACTGACGCAAAAGCCAGCTGAGTCAGTATGATGAAAGAAATAGGCTAAAATGCGATACTGTAAGTGTAGGAGGACGGGATCAAGAATGTGATCATCAACTCTGGGCTGGGAGTTGTTTTTCCAGCCGAGGTCTGATACCAGCTCAGCAGAGTGTTGCACTGTCATGGCTAAAAGAAAACAAGGGAGTGAACCGAAGACACTGTCGCTAGCTGAAGGCAATTTATACGGATAATTAAAAACACTAAAAAGTTTACAGCACTTTTTTCCTCTTCTATCATGTGCGCAATGAAGTGTTCACATAATTACAGATCCCTCGTTACCTTTGTCTAATAACAGAATGATCGCTGTTCATTCAAGTCTGTGAAAGCAAGATCAGTAAAAAAGGAGCCATGCGCCGAGAGAACCTGGAGTCAGGTGGTGAAAGCGTGTCAGACAGGCTGATACAGGGCAATGAAAGCTCGGACAATAGAGGGATTTATCTCGGAGCAGACTGAAGCCAATATGTTCTATGAACAAGGCTCTCTGGGTCACTTTAATTGCCCCTGAACGGGGTTAAATTGTTCTGACTGATAAAAGCTGCGTTTTGTGCCGGATTTAACTGCTAAATCTTCTATTTGATGGTATTCGCTTTGACATTTTAATCTTGATTTAACTTCAATCTCTCTTGACCTCCCGTGGCACTGACTGAAGCTGTAAGGATTTGGCGGACACAAGAATTCACCCGACTCTAAACCCATTTGATTTCCACTGAAATACTGTAAAAAGGTCAATTGGGATTATTGTACCAGCATATTTCATATCTTCCTGCTGTTCCAACGAGGTTGCCTCAACAATCACCACTAGATGGCAAAAGAGACACAAAGCTTAACAGTGGCATCAGGTTGCATTTGGACAGTGTAATATTAGCTCTGCATTGACTATTACGTAACGCAGCTGACTCTAATTTATACCTTTAAATAGCAACAATTAACAGCTATTTTATTCCAAGAAGCATTGGCAAGCCAAGATCTCAATCCAGCAGCACTTCTTTTAGAACGTAATCCATCACAGAGCTCAGAAGGTCATCAATCGTCAATGAAGATTTTACCTTTAACCTCCGTGTCCTCCTGCAGCTCCTGGTGGGTGTTTGCACAGGGTGGGGGTGGGGCCCTCCGCTTGGTACTCCTTAAAGTAGATTCAGCAGACCTCTACAGAAAGACAACATTATTATGCTAACTTATATCATTGTTCGGGTTATTTATTCCAAAAGCTCTACATTGAGCCAGGCTAATCTTCCTCCCTACCGCCAACCCACCTGTGGTCCTCTTAAATGACAGGTGCTGAGGTTGTTGGGGACGCTCTGTGACGCGCCCATGGGCGGCTGGGGGGCTCGTCTCTTCTTGGGCACGTCTGCTGCCAGTTTGTTAGAAGAGGAAACATCCTGCCCATTCATACGGCCTCCCATTTGTTTGTTGAGGCCGGGAGAATCTGGAGGACTTACAGCCCCTTCCTACAAAGAGGGATATGTACAGAGAAGCTTTAAGAAAATCTACATTCAAGTACTGCCAGCAGTACAGGAGTTCACTTTATGTCTCCCAAAAGCTGACGTTACCATTTCAGGGTGTTTCTTCCGTCTTCTGAATAAGCTGAGAAAACCCAGGTTTTCCTTCTGTTTCTTCTCCTTCTTTGGCAGGTCTATATCATGTAAAAGACGTAGATCAGTAAGTGATATCTAGCAGAATACAGATAAGCAGCAGATAATACTGAGGCTGTGCATGAATGTGTTACCTTGTGGTGGAGGTGGTGAGATGACCTCTGTTTGTGTGACAGCTGTTCCACACAGAAAACAATGCCATTATCAGGTCAGACTGCACAGCATCAACACACCGAATATGGGATATAGGCATTCTTTTACATAAGAAACATTGGCCGCAGGGTTTTGTTTAAGTAACAAAACTACAAAATTAATTTAAAAATTGACATTTTGTGCTGCCCAATAGACCTTTTTGACATGAAATAGTGGGTAACCACACCCAATATATGCTGATTTAATTGTAAACAATCACATGTATAATGTAATATTTGCTTGGAAAATATTTAATTATTGTGGCACATTAGTAAACCATTGACTAGAAATATCTTAAGGTTCCATTAGAAATCAATAAATTGTTTTCTTCAGACATTTTTTTAAATACATATATCTTTTTTTATTGAACTAAAGTCTAAAATGTGGCCATAACAGATAAATAAATCATATGTGTTAAAGGTCCAGTGTGTAACATTTATCTAGAGACCCTCCAGTGAGCCAACATGCACAACTATAGCCCCCTGACTCTGTTTGACCTGAATGGAGTGTAACTTTAATTGGTATCATTGTTTACCCTGCTATTTCATGTCTAAATGGCTGCTATGAAAAAGGTCTATTTGGGTCCACAAAGTGATCCCAGTGGTCTCTTTTAAGTTAATCCTGTCTTAATACATATCCCAGAGTGCATTTTAAACTAAATGTGTCGTATAATTTTAGCTCAACACATGCAAATATACAAGCACTGTGCTCAAGCTGTGCATTTTGTTACGCTGCATGTGTGTTAGGGAAGAGGTTTTCTTCATTTGATTGTGATTTGCCCATTTGCATTGCGTGTGTCAATGTGTCCTCTACCGTACCTGCGTCAGGTGTCTTGGCCTGGTGTTGACGGTCAGCTGTGTCTTTGGCAAACACTTCCCTCAGTCCGAGGTCATTTAAAGACTTGGTGAGGTCCAGTGGCTCTTTGGACTGAGAGTCTCTCATTAAGATGGTTGTTTCTGCTTTAAACTCGCACTTGTCACACACCACCGGCAGCAGCATCTCGAGGGGCACTCTGGGATTCACTCGCACCACGGCCTTATGGGACTTATTGTAGTTGATCAACAGACGTACAGACGCCTGCAAAGAGAAATTACATTTTCTACTTATTTCATGCAACTATGGAATGAATATTTTTTACTTCTTTCTCTGTTTTTTTTTTTTTTTACCTCAGGCATGTACGGCCTCCTGATCTTTTCCTCGATCCCTTTAGGCTTCAGCACAATCTTCTCCGCTTCTAGTAAGCCAATCGGAGAGTTCGGTTTGAAGCTGATAATGTTCTTGTTGGGCGAGAGAACCTCAACGGTGTAGTCTGACGGATTCAGGCGGTAGCTCGCACAAAGGGTCACCAGCAGGTCCATCACGGGTTTACTATTCAGAAAAGAAAACAAATCACCATAATTAACATGTATCTTATGAGGTTTTAATGCTGTTCTGAAATGATAGTATGCAGGTGTAAATTCTTGATATCATGATTTTAGCCCCCTTAGTATGGCTAAAACACGGGGCCAAGAAATGTCCATGGCATCCAAACACGGCTTAGATAAAATAGCCTGTAACACGGCCTACCTTCCATGCACTGTGGCGTTCCTCTCCAGCCCCCCCGGCAGCACCACAGACAGAGTGTGGTCTCTCTCCAACGGATTCACCTCCTCATCCATCTCAAGGGACCTTCAGTGGAACTCAAAAGCCTCTCCAGATGTGACGCCGTCCCCAGTGTCAGGTAAACCTCCTGAGAGGCAGGAAATATTTCAGTAATTAAACTCAGGGTTACCGTACAGTCGGTGACAGGGTTTCCCTCCCGCCTCGCTGTGAAATGTCTTATCGTTACTCGAAAACATTTCAAGAATGGGCTTTGAAGGATGACTCTAATAGGTCAGTATAATAGGACTCCTAATAATAGACTTATAGGACTCCATAGGGACACTGCACCTAAAACAGCTATGACTCACTTTAAAGCTACTCTCTTTATATAAAATGTTGGAAAATAGTGGAAAATAATGCAGAATTTGAGATAAAGTTGACATATTCAGATGCCTGAACGGTATAAAAACTAAATAAATTCAGTTTACTACCAAAGAAGACAAACATAACAAGCAAACATTTAAAATTGAGAATATGATTAAGCAGAAATTGCTGTTTTTTGCTTTAAAAATTACTTACATGATTAAATTACAGTCAAATTAGTTTTTCTGTGCATTGACCAAAGAGTAAATCAACACTGATGCTCTGCTTAACAGACGCATCTTTATTCAGAGATATAACAGTAAAACTGGGTGCTACATCGCTGTTTTTGGTACAAATAAACCCGTAAATGTATCTTCTATATTGCAGGTTACATTATCCATTCATTCAAGACATTAGTTGAATAAATATTGTGTCAAATGTCAGCGGTTACCTGAAAACAATAAACCTCTACCTCAAGCGTGAAACATGACAGTCCAGATCCAGCGACCGAGCTGCTTCCACATGGAAACTACGACAAATGACCCAAATTGTTGTTAAAACTCTCACTTATAACCACACACGTTAACTTTGGCAACTTTTGCTGCGTTTCCCCTGTAAAAACGGACGAGCAACTTCCAACGACTCGCCTCCTTTCCCAGGAATTTAAACACCCTCCGTCTTCACCTCTGACCCTTTGTGGTTCCTCGGCCGCGCTCAGGAACAGCCTCTTTAAACAGCCTGATTACAGTCACCGCCCTGCATTCACCGCAGCGTGTGCGTTTAAACAGGTGACTGAATACGCATTCAATAAAGTATAACTGTAATAATTGTTGATTTACATATGTTTTTAATATGGTTCATATTAACAGGCCTGTATTAAATGCACAAAACTGAAATAATTCATTATTAATTAAGCTCTTAATTGACTTATTTGCTTGTTTATATGTTTATACTAAAACATTTCACATTATTTACATTCATGTTTTGGTTCCTAAACTTATTTTTTCTAGTTCTGCTAAATATAAGTGTTAAAGTAAGCTAAATAAATACATAATTTCTTCCAAAAGTACAATATATAAACAGTAGGATCATTACACAAATAATCTTCAGTGTTATTTTTCTAAGAAACTAAACCTAATCTATTACATGAATCTACTGTATTGGTGTTATTGGAGTAATAATGTTACATTAATAAAACACCATAAAAAGTCTTTATCCGCAAACAATGTATCTCAGTAACTCACACAATGCATTCAGCCTGTCTGTCTTCAGCCATGTTGTTGAAGCAGTAATGCTGAGTTCCAAATAAGCTTACACTGTTTCTCAAGTAAGAGGGATTAGTGCTTTCAAAAGGCTGCGTCTCTCCATGCTGCCACATACAGAAACACTTAATTGATTTGAAATATACATCCATAGCATTTTACACATACCTGTATCCACAGATTCCTCCCATTCTCTGTCAACTTTCTCTTCTGTATTACTGAGTGGTGGGAGGAGAGAGGCTGAGCAAGAGAGACGCTTCCTCCCCCTTGAAATCCTTGTTTAGCAGACTAACCTACCACACCTACAGGCCCTGCCCAGTCATGTGACAGCACTTTGCATGTCTGTGTACTGTGTGTACTGGTGTACTGAGTGTATGAGTGTGTATGCTGTATGGGAATAGTGACGGAGGGGGGAGGGGGTATCTGCACGGGCATGCATGGGTTGTTACTTGGTGATTCAGTCCTAGCAATGTGAAAGCGTAATGTTAAAAAGAGTATACCATTCAATGTTTTTTGTATAGCCTCTTAATGAGACCAACATAAGCTACGATCCTCTATATAGAGATCTGGCAAAAGTACTTGCTTGATTCAGCTTCTCCAATACTGTATAGCATCAGACACACTGAACTATAATCTCCTTGTCTAATAAAAAAAAAAGATTGTCAGTGGTCCGTGGACAATAAGTAGAATAAATGGTGTTTACATAATGAATGCAAGGGCTTCACTAACTGGCATTTCAGTACCAAACTAAAGCCAGTGAATTACAATGTAAGGAGATGTCTTATCAGAGAGGCAGAACAGTAAGTCCAGAAATCAGGCTTGTTAAAGGTCTGTATAAACTCCTGGGATGTGTTAAAGCGCTGGTTCCCCAGCTATATATGCTGGCTGTAGTCAAGACTTAATCTTTGCTTTTTTTTTGTGAAACTGATATTTTGTAGTTTTCAGGCCCCAAAATGTCTGAGAAGTGTAGATGATGTATTGGCGGCAACTTGGCAGAATATACAACCTGTGACAAGGGGTCACAGCTTTTGATTAAAGGGTCACAAGTTGGGGACCACTGCATGACGTGCATGTGGACAAAAGCAATGTGAGTCATTTGGAGGCAGATTTAACACAGAAAGAAAACATTAAACATTTAATACTCACTGCTTGTTGAAGGCATTTCAGTTTTATGTGTTCTGGGTGTTTTTGAGCCACACCAGCGGCATAATTTATCATCCTGTTAGCATTTTAAATTTGGTCCAATTATGACCAAATAACCTGAAAAGGACATCTCCATCAGCCCAGCTGTATTTTGATGTTTAGTGCTAATTAGCATGCTTACACGCTAAGCTAAGGAGGGTGCAAATATTTTACCTGCTAAAACATCAGCACCGTCAGCATTGCAGCAGGCACTGTGAGTATGTTAGCATGCAGATATTAGCATTTACTATTAGCCTCACAGAGCCACTAGCTCTCTGTCTTGTTATTCAGTTACATATATAATAATTCCTTTTATTTGTATAGCACCTTTAAAACATAGTTTCAAAGTGCTTTACAACAGCAAAATAAAACAAAATCAATTCAATACAATACAATGACGATAAAATAAAACCATTCAAAATAATGATGAAACATATAGCATGATAGCGACGGTCCGGTCGGCCCTGGTTTTTAATATAGATCCAGGAATCTCTAAAAGGGACCCAGCGGAGGGTCTCAGACTGCACTTTAAATGACACATTAAATGAGACAGTCATTGATATACTCAAAGACCAGTTCCATCTGGGCCTTAAAAGTGATCATTAAAATCAATTATGAAACACATTGGTAGCCAGAGTAATGAAGCTAAAATTGATGTTATTTGTACTCTTTTGGTATAATTAGTGAAGAGTCCAGCAGCTGGATTTTAATGAAAGTTTTGGCATAGAGAGTAAAGGTGTACAACTACTTCAGTAATCTACTTTACAGTAATTACTTGTAGCCTACTACAGGTAGAGCGGAGTAATTATAGGACAGTTATTTACTCATGGCTTTGATTCAGGGAAGGATTTCCTGGCTTTTATATTCCTAGATAAAATGTGATTAGTCAAGCCTTCCTTACAGAGATAATGTTTAGTAACATTATAATGAATAGTAATGAATTACAGGAACTCAAATTAACGTTAGCCATAAGACAGACCGCCACAGTATCACACAAAGCCTCGATTCATCTGCATACGGTAGGTGAGCGGTAGCATGCAGTTAGGTGGGAGTTTTAATCAAATTAGGCGCAGGGAACACATGTCCACGCTGACTGTAATCTTGTAATCTCATTGTGAAGTCTGTGGAGTCTCAATGGGCCTTCTACAGTAGCTGGCTGCAGTAAACAGATCACTGTGCGACTGTCTCGCTTAATGAACTTCTTTTGATGACTAACCGACAAACAGAAAGCCTGTTAGTCACACCATCCAAGTCTCTCTTCCTGTATCATCACTTACCATGTTGTGAAATGGAAGAACTGTGAGATAAACAGGTAGAAGGTGTTAAACTGTTTCTATTTCTCAGTCTTGAATGCATCCATGTGAGGACAGAGATGGATTTGGCTAAAGCCTATACCATGATTTCCACCCTGGAACCATGTTATGATAAAAACGAGTGGCGTGACACTGACATGCTTTATTTTTCCTGTCAAAGGAAATCAGAATGGTAACAATATGAATTCCTTTCCTCCATGTTATCCTCCATCAGGAATCCAATGTTAACATCCATGTGCAGGCTCATGTAAACTCTGTTCTTGAATAGATTCATGTAAACTCAGGAAGTGCAGAAAGTGTACTGCTCCGTCTAATGTTCTGTTTTTCAGTCTGAACATTTATAGAAAACGAGTGCATGTATGCAAGTCACAAACTCATGTGAACTCTTTGTTTTTACACATTTATAGACATCTAACGGGAGCCCGGCCAGAAACAGAGGGCTGAGCTGGAGTGTTATACAACGCGACAAAGCCAAGATATGCTACAAGCTAATTCTGACATCCCAGTGTTTGAACGCAGGCTTCCAAATTCATCACTTTGCTTCTAATGAAACATGCAGGAAAGTCACAGAGAGCTGCCAAAGAAGGACAACTGTGAAATCAGCTTTTGGAAACATCGTTCACACCAGGGAGACACTTAGCTCTCCACGTGTTCTTTAGCACTGTTCTATATCTGGATTCTGCTGAGTGTAAAACTGATATCTGTTATACATTTTGAAGTGATGTCCTCAACTCTTTTGGCTTTGGGATTTGTGTTGACAACAGGATTGCAAGTACACTGACTGTCAAAGCCACCGTGTTTAATCGCTTCGTGCTATGGTACAATTACAAGGACCTATTTTAAGTGTTTGGTTAAAATGCTTTATAAGATTAAACTTCTCTATTTTATTCTTACTTATGTGGTTATGATGATATTTTAATGAGATTGAATGTGATATCTTACAAACATGACAGTCAATAGTGTAGCTTTGATTTCAGAAAAGGGAGCCACAATGAAGTAAATAAAAAGCAAATTGAATGCAAATGCTATTTATTTATACTTATATTAACATACAAAAAGTGCATTAACCATAAAAAACAATACTTAATGTGAGTGATGAGAACTGGCACTTTTGATACTGTATTCACATCTTTAATCTAATAAATCAGATGGTAACATAAAGAATAAAGAATTCAAAGACATTGTCCTTTCCTGCCTTAGCATAGTGACCTGTGATGAAAAAGGATACATTTAATTGATTGAGTCCTGAATAGTGTCTACATGTCTCTCAATGTCAACCTGTGTACTGTGTACATCCCCTCTACTGTGGGCTCAATGAAACAAAGCTGCTTGTAAAAGTGTGTTTAAAGGGGTTGAAGTAAAACTGTGTGCAACCCACGTGAGAGTGACATGGAGCTAAAGGGTGTGTCCATATTTGCTGACAGCTGGCTCTGTGAGGGATGGAGTTCATCCTCTCTTTCATTTCTTTTATTTAATGGAGCCATTGAAACAGCTATTTAAATCGCACAATAAATTCATATAAAGCCTCTATTATGATTGCATTTGTTGACACTGGTGGCTGCGTTCCTCCTCACAAATGCTCCACCTTTGTGCTTCACACATAAACTACTGTGAACAGCTCCATTTTAGTCCCAAACTACAGAGGAGAGCTAACTTTATTCCATGAGGCGTTAGTAACCCCAGTTTGGGTGTAATGTTAGCGACTGTCCAGCAGATGGCAGGAATCTACAATAAACACTGATGTCTGCACCCCACAATGTGGTCTCCACGTGAGCACGCACATGCCAGCTTCCTGACACCTCAATCTCCATCCCCATGTATAATAATGAATAATAATAGTTATTTGTTAAAAATAATAATCTGTGACTGCAAGCCTCCAACACTGTGAAATAATTAACATCAGTTACTTTAGATGTGATAGAAGCATATTGATTAACTATATTATGGCCATCAGTTTTCTTTTTAAATACACAGTGGGGTTGTTGTGCCAGACAGTAGGCTTACAGCATTTTATAGAAATTAAATGAATTATAGATTTAATTTTCAGTTTTTTTCTCCATTATTTCCACATATAACCACTGCTGAAGCTTGGGGGGGAAAGTCATGTATTCTCTGCAACAAAACACCTGTAGAGCTACAGCATACTTTTAAATTAAACTGAATAAAAGCTGTGATATAACCCTCAGACAAGCTGCTACCAAAATAAAACAAATATGAAGTATTATTTGAACATATATTTAAATAAAACAGGAATGTATCCAGTCTTTATGCATTAGTATTTAAAATGAATAAGATGATTTCAAGTCCTTTTCTGTGGCTTTATAACTAACAACAGGTTGCTGTTGCTCTCCCTCACTTGTGACTTTGCTGTGTTCCCCACACTCTGGCCATCTTGCGACAGTCACAGCTTTAAGGACATCCATTCCCAGCCTAACCCACCGGAAGCGCGGATTGATTTCTCCATGGCAAGCAAGGGCGGCTAAAAAACAGGAGGAGAAGAAGGGAGAGAGAAAAAAAAAGAAACAAAAAATCAAAGGAGCGCTCATTAAATCATAATCCATCAACCTCTGAAAGGCATTTCACAAGAGGAGACAAGCGTTTAAATCTCACACTGACAGGCTATCCGCTTACATCAAGGATTATTCTTTCGGATATGGGATCTACCTTCAGGGTCCCCACCTGCTGGGCACCGTAATGGTGGTGAGTATCCAGATCTTTGGAGAAGGATCTCTCAGCCTTTCATTGCCATGACAGGTTCATTGAAGGATAGTCGGACTTTAGTTTTGTCTTTACTCATAATGTGTGTGAAAATAGACGCAATACGACCGACTTATTATGATTTTAAAAAAAATCTTTTTTTGAATATCTCACCTTTGATTTCCCTCCGCTAATTGCGCGTGATGTGCATACACAACCACATTAGGCTGTGACAGACATTTTAAAGCCTTTTTTCCTCTCCCCTTTAAATATATTGCAATAAATGTAAGTATTCAGTCCACAGAGGCTTTTATTTCACTGATGGTGTTTATAATTGGTTTATTATAGCTGCGCTTTAGGTGCGTATTTACGATTTATTTCCAATTTCAAGTGAAAATGAAGGAAAATAGCCCTCCATGTCGTGACAAACAGAATAGGCTTCAAATATTAAGCAACGGGGAGGGGACAGCCCTCACAGCTACAGCCCTATTTGGTGTGAAAATGTTTTTCTTTCCCCTATTTATAACATTTAAAGGGAAGACAAAAGAGGTTTTGTATGTAAGGAGAAAAGGAAAAACAAAAATCTATTTTTGGTACACCAGTTGCTCTGTGTATAGGGGATTGATTACAAGCAATAGACACATCTGGCGAGGACACGCCCAGACTCATTCAGACCCATTCACGCTTCATTGTAAAGCTTTTCCATCACCAACACCAGAGCCATGAAGGGGTTAATTCCGTATGTAATTGTGTAGAAACAAGGGAGGAATATGGAAGTGGTGAGGAATTAAGTAGGAGAATTGTTAAATTAGTTGACTGAAAGCCACTGGAGTCATTTAAAACCACAGTTCAAGGACCTCAGGTGGCTCCCCGGACCCTAGTTTGGACACCACTGGTTTCCAGGGGATGCTGATGGGTTGATGCAGCCACCGACTCCGAGCGTCACCCTCGGTCGGCGGCTCACCGGTGTGTACGTGCCTCTCTTGTTTTTATCCCGCTGCTGGGTGTCGTCGTGCCGCCAGTGGCTGCTCCTGAGGGGAGGGAGAGAGAGAAGAGGGTGAGGGAGAGACATAATGGCCGAGGCGAACGCAACAAGCTCTCGTTTGTGGCAAAAAGTGTCGGTTTTCGGAGTCCTGGAGATAAGACGGAGACATTATCAACATGGCGACAGCTTCTGAGGCCCCCCTCGGCTCGTTTTGAAACCGCGAACAATCAAGGTACCGTCCCGACACCCGCCCTCTTCCTCATTTCTGATGTCTAATTAAGCCTCAACAAGCTACTTCCATCCACATACTGTCATGTCGGTGTCTATCTGTTGCTCGGAGGTGTTTAGAAAATCAATACAGCAGTCCTAAATTAAAACAGAGCCCAACAGGAGATGAAAAACGTCCTCAAAGTGCTTTAAGGTGACGATAGAGACGCCATTGTGTAGTTAAAACATTCAAAATGTCTCAGGTATCAGGTTAGGGTTGTACTTTTTATTTTATTTTTAGTGCTCTTCTGCTTTAAGCACCATGGACAGCAGCGCCCTTTTTGTCAGCTGAAATTGTATTCATTCAGATAAAATGTGTGTAACTGAAAAAGCAAATGTCTACAAAATGCCACTTTTTGTTGTTTAAAAAAAGCCCCAAATGTTGCCTACATGTAGACTTATTGTTGTGTTCTCTGAGGTGAAACATCTGTCCATGGCTCAAAGGCACTTGAATGAGGCATTACTGCTGTATAAAGAACAGGCTTTTCTATTTTACACACAATACTCACATGCCTGTATGTACATTAAAACAGTTTCTGGTCCTTTTATGTGCAAAAAAAAGTTTCCTTGCTGAGCTTTGGTGGAGGGATAGCAACACAATAAGTGGATTTTGTACAAATAAGACAGTAACTTATAATGATGCATGCTTTATTTGTCTAAATCAGGCTGCTGAAGCCTCCTGGTAGTCTATTTTCTGCACACAACCTGAACTGTGGAAGTGACCTCTTCACGGCTTTTATTGTGACAGCCACCAGAAGCTGTTTACTTGCACATACGGACACGTGAGTGTTGTAACAACAAGATTTAGAGCACAAAAGCGGCCTCGAATCAAAATTTCACGTCATCGTTTAGAGGTTTATGTATTTTATTTGATCTTGTGGCCATTAGAAAGCATTTTTTTGTGATTTTCTTAGCAGCAATGTCCGTTTTTAAAGTGTCGTCTGTGTGTGAACCAGATTGCGTCTGATTTCATAGACACTGTGATGCCTCTCAGTGTCGGGATACATAAGGGCAGAAATCTGGGCTGTCCCTACATGTTTTCAGTCTGTCATGTTATATCCGACTCCAGGGATGACCACGCTGATAGCTGAGCTCAGAGGTGGGTGTGGATGTAGGGCCTGCGGAGGTCGACCAGGCCTCACAACATACCACCACCACCACCACCACCACCCGGCAGCTCATTCTAGACAAGCTGTCAGGCCACACATCACAACACTGGATCCGGGGGCAATCTGTAGGACACAAGCAGATGTGTTTTATGAGACGCCCCTATGGGAGAAGCTACAATTAATTCACAGTTTATGCCTGATGAATTTTCCAGCTACTATGGCTTTCTAATAAGCCTTGTCTCTGGTAAAAATTGATTTAATGCTTGGATAATGGGAGTTTATTAACCATAGCACTTGTGTTTAGTGCAAGAAGTGGTTAAATTAAATGTTTTATCGTGTGTGGTATGTCATAAATTGGTTGGATGGATGGTTTTCAATGTTTGGAGTAGGAAAGTGTTAACTAAAGAGTTGTTTGTCCCCCGTACGTTCTTTTTCTGTAGCTTCCTTAACTTTCCTCAGACCATTTGACATTGTCTTCATCAGTTAAAATCTAAATTTAACCCTGATAAGAGTCAACTTCTTATATCTCTCGTATCTGTCCGTTCGATATGAAGCTTCAGCCTGGAGATTGTTAGCTTAGCTTAGCGTAAAGACTGCAAACAGAGGCAAACGGCTAGCCTTGTTCTACGAGTGCAACAAACAAGATGTAATGTGTTCATTAGTGAGCTTTATAGGGGCTGGTTGTTAGCTGTTTCCCCCTTTTTCTAGTCTTTATGCAACAGGCTGCTGACTTCAATATTGAGTTAGTGGTATGAAGAAAAAAGGCACGTTGTTCCTGATTGTTGATTTTTAGATTAAATTAGGGATGAATTTCCTCCTCACATTGGCTTCATGAAAGGTAGGGACCCTTTTCTGGCTTCCCAGTTGCATATGATCATGAAAGAAAGCTTGGTTTGGTTTGTGAATTAGTTTAGGTATGGCGTGATATTGATAGACATGACACACAAAGTGTTAGTGGTAAAACTGGTACAACTCATATTTAGATCAAGGCTAATCATTACTATGTTTGGGGGGACACTGTGTTCCAGACTTTCTACTCTGGTGCGGTGTTGAATGTGAAAATTACTTAAAACTCTACCGCTGCTTTTTTACATTGGAAAGAATGATTTGGTCGTAGCGGGCTGAGGCGGTCTCTGTTCCTCCATTTCCATTTGGAAAAGCCGATGACTCAAGAGGACATCACTTTTCAGAACGTCCCGTTCCTGTTTTCTGGGCCAGTACAGTGTCCCACGAGGAACGAGGCCCACCTGTGAGACTGCAGAGACTGGGAGGCGCCGAGGATGCGCCGATAATGGCTCACCAGGGTTTTTTGGGAAGGTCTTGTTTGTGTGCCTTCCCTCTATTTCCCGTGGGAACCTGATGGGCTTCTGGGTGTGAAGGGTGACAGATTGTTAACAAGGGAGATCTGGTGTTGGTGCTGATTGGTGCAGAAGAAGAAAAATCAATACTATCAATTACATTTGTTGCTGCTGAAAGCTTTTGTGAAAACAGTTCATTTTGTACTAATTTCAGCCTATTCACCAATTAATTATGCAATAAAAGGACAGTGCTTCCTCTTTGTTTTCTCCTTCGGCTGCGCCCCGTTTCCATCCCCGTGGGGAAACCAGGCCAGGCTGAGGATCTGCTGAGATCTGATGAGCCCCGTAGGAATGCACAGGCGTGTGCATCCCCAGTGGCCCGAGGACAACCCAGGGTTCAGTGTCTCGCCCAAGGACACTTCAGCATGTGGACAGGAGGAGGTGGGGACCAAATGATCAACCCTGTAATCAGTAGAGGTCTCTCTGTCCCTCCTGAGCCACAGCCGCCCCAGAAGGACATTTGCTTCCTGCAACTGTCCAGAAACCACTTTCTACAAATGCAGCAATCAATAGAGACTCAAACAGAGCAATAAATCGGAGGAAGCTGGCAAGATTATGTTCTCTTGAGAGTCTGCTTCTCATGCTGTCAATCTCAGTTGGTGCTGGCTATTTCTGTTCCCCTGTGAATCAGCTGAAGGCGCGCCACCAACGTCAGACCCCCATTTACTGCCTCTCTAAAGCCTCCGCGCTACCTGCGACCTCTCGCTGCTTTGATTCCACCCAGAGGTCAGCGTGCCACACCCACCCTCTTTATTCATACATTAATGTGCGTTTTAGCAGGCACTTTGGTTTGTTTCCACATTAGCTCAAAGCAATGGCTTATTAATGTATCTGTGATTTGTCACCATGATGATTCGGATAGATTCTTGTCACCAGTCATCAGTTATAAAACAGGTGTCAGACGCACTCAGATTGGTAGTAGTCAGTCAGGACTGTTTGCTACTGAAATGTGCTCTCTCATGTGCTTTTTTTCCTCCCGCAGCCTTTCATATGCATCTTTATGTCTATTTAGGGTTAGGGTTCAATATTTACCTTCCTCTTTTTATATTATAAATACTATGACAGCAATCTCATTAGATCGGACTTCGTAATACCCCTGTAATACTTTCAACATGTCACAAGTCTGCACAGGCACAAGGTTATTGTAAGCAGTATCATCTCCTGTGCTCACAGAAAACAAAACATATTCATAATATTATATATCATTTGAATCATTTCTGCCTTTGCTTTTCTCTTCCTCTCAGCATCAGGTGCCAGATATCATGGAAAGTAACATCCATTTTTAATTTTAGTACTTTAGTCATTTTCAGCTACCATCTTTGTTTGAATTCAGAACACAACTCAGGTTATTGTGCAGCAGATAGAATATTTTTTTCATCCAGAAAGGTTTGAAAATTCTCTGAATATCTTATAATAATATAATATATAAATTATATATATTTTTATGTTTTATATATTAAACATAATGATTTTTTGGTAAATAGGGTGCTTTGTGCAGTGATTATAATCTAATGGCATTACATGAGACGCACAAACTAGGGCTAACTTCATCAAGACATTCGGACATGGGTGACTTTAAATGTTCCTTATTACTTCACAGAAATGTATTGACAATGGATGAGAGACTGTAACTGTAATGTTACTCCTGGAAAGGGAGGAGACATTGTGTCAGAAACACCCAAAACTTTCCTTAATCTTATCACATCTCATTTATCCAGGCGGGGTTTCCAACTTACTTACAGCATGATCCAGGACGATAAGCTCCACAGGTGAATGTATCAACTATTTTCAGAAGCGTTTCCTTCTCATTTCCTTCTCCTTGCAGCTCCCTGCTCCAGCTGAGCCCCTCGCTGCCCTCTGAAGGAGCAGGATGACAAGATGGCACAGCTGCTTGTACCGCCCGGACCTGACAGCTTCCGCCCCTTCGTCCCCGAGTCGCTGGCCGCCATCGAGAGGCGCATCGCCGAGGAGGAGGCCCGGAGACCACGGGCGGAGCGCCGCAGCGACAGCGACGATGAAAATGGGCCCAAGCCCAACAGTGACCTGGAGGCGGGGAAGTCTCTCCCCTTCATCTATGGGGACACCCCTTCCCACATGGTGTCCACCCCTCTGGAGGACCTTGACCCCTTCTACAGCAATCAGAAGGTCCGTCATTACAAGTCCATCTTATGAAAGGAACATATGAAGCACACTAAAGTGAAAGGATACCTTTAAGACGTGTTTGTGACTGTGCTGGCCTTAAAGCATAATTATGTATACTGATTTAGCCTTCAATTATGGTATGACTCAAGCACTGAATTTTTATACATTGCAGGTCTGTACTTTCAGTCCAGGCTTTTCAGCCCCTAAAAGCCCCAAGCTAATTGCCCAATGCTCTTCACAAACTATTTTAAGGATGCACGTGCGCAGATGTAGCAATTTCCTCCCACGTAAGATAAACTTCTGCTGCAGAAAGATAACACCTGAATACATCCACTTCCAATCTTTCTGTTTGCCCAGCTCGGTTTGTATCAAAGGATATAGTGCAGCTAATCTTAAAACAATAATTGGAATCATGGTCACTGCCAGTCACATGTTTCATAGATGTAATTATTCAAATATTGTACTCTTGTACAATTCTGAGATCGTTTACTTGAGTATTTTATGTTATGCTTCTTCATACTTTCACTCCATTTCAGAGGGAAATACAGTTAGCATATAGTAAATATACTATACTACACTACATTTATCTCACAGCTATAATTACTTTGCAGACTAAGATTTTTCTTAGTCTGCAAAGTGATGCATGATGATCAGCTTCTAAAAATATAATGAAAAAAATGTTAGTATAGTAGTTGTATTTTAGTGAAATTGAGGTTTTATTAAGGTCTAAGTGCAGTAAGAATAAATTAAATGAGATATTAAATAATCTTACCGCACAAAATAAAATATAGACAGAAATTCCTTTATAAGATTAAGGGTTAAACAACAGTAAAACACTACACACACATTAATGCATCAATTAATTATAATCCTCTAAAATATATAACGCAATCAAAAGAGACATTTTGTATAACGAGTACTTTTGCTTTTGATATTTTGAGATAATTTTACTGAAAACAAATGGAAGCATTTATTGAAAACTTTTTTGTTTTATCTGTTCTAAAAAAATGTTAAATCAACAAGTTGTGGTTTTACGGAGGTTTTGTGTGGGACTGTGTTGGTGAGATAGACTATTATAGATGATAGCTGTTTCCCCATCTCCAGTCTTTGTTGCTAAACTAGACTAACTGGCAGCTGGATGTAGCTTCATATTTAATGTTGACCCTTCCACCACTGCCAGCGCCTTTATTGTTTTTTTACTGCCTTAAATTCATTCATTAGCATTTAGGATTTCAGCCCAAAAGCCATTTCAACAGTAATGTGCTCAGCCCAGTCAGGGGCTTTAGAGCATGGGTCAACTGAGGTGCTAAATGCTAATCTGAGCTGTTGTTCCAGTTGAAACAGCAGTGCCAGCATGTCCTGAAGTGGACTCATCCAGCTTCATTATAATACCAAACCCACAGACCCTGAGCAGAGGCTGGACAGCTTCGTCCTCTCTGCTGTTGTGACTAATAATCTCACATGCACAAAGGCAGGCACGATGAGCGGAATCTATAGGACACGCACAGGTCTCCCCTGGGTGCTGCATCTCTCACATATAACAAATAAGGTGAGACCAGGCTTCTTATGATACAGATTTTAACAAATGTTCTTCTGTCTCTCTTTCAGACCTTCATAGTATTGAATCGCGGGAAGGCAATCTTCCGTTTCAACGCCACTCCTGCCTTGTACATCTTAAACCCCTTCAACCCTCTAAGGAGGGTAGCTATTAGAGTTTTAGTACACTCATATCCTTTCAGCGCTTGACACAGACACAGTTTGATTTGGATTAAAGGGTTGGTCAGACAAAAGAGGGATTTAATTATATGCTAATAATAAAGACTGAATGACATCATTGGGTTAGACTTTCCATGTAGACGTACATCAGGATTTACTGCTGCTGAGTAGTTGAAGACATTTTAGATTACAGCCTGTTATTTTATATTTACTGTAGTAATTATAGATGGGGATGTGTTTACTGTTTTCTGTCAGGTTTGGTTGTAGCGTATCATACATTTCATGCATTGTGTTCCTTGACTTTGCCTCTACGATGTTCAGCATGTTGATCATGTTCACCATCCTGACCAACTGTGCTTTCATGACCCTCAGTAATCCCCCGGAATGGGCCAAGAATGTAGAGTAAGTCCCCATTTTCTACAATTTACTTTACACCTACAATTTAACTTCAGATCCTTCCTTATAATCCTCATGTTTAGACATTCACTGTCAGAAGTAATCAAGTGGTTGTACATCCATGGTGAAAAAATAACTGCTAACAGATAATGCAGTGTGACTTTCCATGATGCAAATTTGGCAAAATGTAAAGAAATACAGGCTTTAAAAAGCAGTGAGTTGGTGATGAGTCAGTGTGTTAGCCCACAGCTAACTCACTGAAATCACTTTATCATTTACTCATCCACTACTCCCTGTATGATACACACTTAACTCCTAGTTTGCTCTTTAGGGAGCAGTAAAATGAGATTTCAGACAACTTATGAATCATCACCTTTTAGGGGCATCATTCACAGGTGGACTTTGGCTCATGTGAGGCGTTTGTTTGGTCTTCAGGCCAAATTGAATATATCAAAGCTTTCTTACTGTCCCTAATGTATTTACAGTTTGAATGTTAATGTAAAATCTGTAAATACAATAACTCAATGGACAACTACTAACTGTTATCTCAAATTTTTAGCTATACTTGACTACTCACCCCCAATAAAAATGGGGACAGTGAAGCAAACTGCACCACAGATCCACTGTCTGTCACAATAGATGCATCAGGCAAACTTTGGAAATAATGTAATATTCAAGAATCCCATCGAGGAATTGGTGACTAAGTTAAAAATCCACTACTGCCCTGCGTACAGTGGCTCCTGTCACATTGCCTCTGAACAATGGAGCTGCTAACAACATTACTTCTCTCTGCGTGTCTTTTCCGCCTCTCTCCCCACACACCTCTCTTGTTTCACCAGATACACATTCACAGGGATTTACACCTTCGAGTCCCTTATAAAGATCCTGGCCAGGGGCTTCTGTGTGGGGAAGTTCACTTTCCTCCGGGACCCGTGGAACTGGCTGGATTTCAGTGTTATCCTCATGGCGTAAGTATTCTGACAAGCCTAGTTAGGATGAGCTTAACACGATGTGGCGTAGATTAAGAGGCCAAATGCTTTTAATGCTAATCATCTCAGCAGCATATTAAGTCCCACTGAATGTGAGGAGAACAGGGAGAAAGAAGAGGGGAAGATAATCTGCAGCTTAGTAGTGTGCGTTTTAAAAGCAGGGCCATAAATCTCAACTGTACTCCGTTATAATGGATGTGAGCCCCTTAAGCGCGGAGTATCCTGGCCCATATTTGTCCCACGCTTCAATAACTTCACCTACAAAAAGAAGCCTTCAGCATTAGGTTACACTGAATGATTTTATGTGATCATACTGTTGGTTGATGTGAAGAATTACTCGCTGATAATGTAATAAGTATAATCTTGTTTTGTCTGAGAGATTCCTGTAATGCTGTTGCGAGAGCTGCTGTTGTTTCTCGGATGTCTGTGCACGTGTAATGGGTTTCCGCCTGTGTAATGCTGTGTAGTAACTGTGCATTTGATCCTGCAGGTATATAACAG